TACTCTGTGTTAGTATATAATCTGTATGGTTGTATTTCTCTATTGAAGTTAAGATGGCGACTCTGTTCTTCATCAGAAGTCTGAGGAAGGTGATCGAACCTTTTTAAAAACGTGTCCACCATCATCATCATCAGTTACTGTTTTATTTCTTCACATTTTGAAAACTTTTGAAAAGTGACACGTTTCAGAAGAATTATTTCAGATGTCAGATGATTTAAATTGTGTTTAAATAAAAAAACTAAACCAGAGACACAGTGAAGAAGAAGAACCAACACACACTGATTCAATGTGAAGGAAACAACTCTTCTGTCTTTCATGTCTTTCATGTCTTTCATGTTAAAACTAAACTAAGTTAAATTCAGACAACAACCACATCGAACGTACCTTCTCCGGCCAGATGTGACAGAACGAGTCCGATGATCAGAGCCAGATGTTTCCTCCACATTTATATATCGACAGGTTCAAACTGAGGAGGATTCAGGAACATGGAGAATCTGAAGCTGAGGCTCAGAAACAACTCAGTCACTTTTGTTTTCCGTCGCGTCACTTTGCGGCTCGAGGAGCGCGAAGTGAAAGAACTCAGAGAAACTCGAGAGCTTCCGCTTCAGCTTCATCAGAGTTTTACAGGAGCCGTGACGACGCAGCTTATTTATACACAACATGGCCGAGGAAGAAAATCAATCAGCCAATGAGACGCAGGCACGGAAAACACCTCCTCCTCAAGACCTTCACAATAAAAGCTCCCACCGGAACTTTGAATAAAGAGTACAAAAACAGAATCACGACTCGTCACACAATAACTGAGACACTGATGTTTTTATTATCAACAAGAACAATAATGATTCCTGTTTCCATGAATATCACAAACACACATTTACACATAAATTCAGATCATTATTTTTTAATTACAATCGAAGGAACATGAATGAAAAGTATTTTACTGAATTTCTCAATTTAAAAAAAGAAGCTTTGATTAGTTTTTTCTGACTTTTTACTTTTTATCACATTCTCACGACAGGAAGGAAAAATAACTCTTAAATGATTATGAAGTGAACCTGAGAGGATCCAGTTTAATGAATATTAAATACTAGAGGGACTCTACACGTCTCCAGCCAGACTGATTCATCATCATGTTGCATCTTCGTGTACGGAGGTCACATAAATCCAAATCATTATCTGCTTCCAGTTTCACCTGTTCTCAGATTCTATCATTCTACAGGTGTCGGATTTCTTTTTAAAGATCTCTGCATCACGGAATTAAAAATCAACATTTAATAAAGTGAAACCAGATCCTGGATCTGCCCCTGAATCAAACCTGCTGTCAGTAGTTTTTGTGTAACAGACATGAAAACATGAATCTTTACCTGTGACACAGACTTTTAATATATAAAATATTGATAAAAAAACGACACCACAGAAAAAACTTTAGTGTTTATCAGTGACGTTTATACAAATCTGCAGTTTTCTAACATTCACACACAAAATGTTCATTTACTTATTTCAAATAACAGTGAAATCACCGTCTCATGTAAAGGTGACAAACTTAAATACTTGACACAGAACTTTACATAAAAGTACAAACTTCTGAGAATCATTTTTCACAAGAAGTGATTTATCAACCGTCTTAGTGAAAACGAGCCTCGAGCAAGAACCACTGAACAGAATCTTTCATACGCGTCATGATCGGAGGATTTTAAAGACGTTTTCACTTTGAGATTTTCTTCTGAACAAAATTTATTTGGCAGTGAAATGACAAGTAAAACTAAAAAAGTGTAATTTATCAATCTGAACTTTAGAGAAATGTCGTAATATTCAGAGAAGTCAAAAATACAACGGAACAATATAACAATCACTCAAAGTAAAGAAACACGATGAACAATAGAGAATCTTTCAGTGGTTAACATTCAAGAGAAAATCTGTGGTTCTGTAAGAAGTCGACGTGAGTGAAGTGTAGTTCAACATAAGTTTCTGTAAAAAGAATCCATCATTAATAATCTTTCATTTTAAATCATTTGCTGAAGTTGTTCTGTTTTTACAGAAGTCATGTAAATTCTTATTTTCAGTTTTGTATTTAGTTTTTGTAAAATAAACGTATCCACTGACGGGTCGGAGCAGATTTACTTTAATTTACTTTAATTTACTTTAATTTAATTTAATTTAATTTGTCTGCGTTCATTTATTAAATCTGTAAAAACTAAAGAGCCCCGACACTGAGGCCGGGGATTTCTGTTGAGTTGTGATTTAAAAGGTTTCGAAGACTTTGAGTTAATATAAAAATAACGACCTCAGAGAAAACAGATTCCTTCCTCGTCGATACACGTCTCCGTCAGTCAAGTTACAGTTCACATCCGTCTTACACCAGATTCACACGTGAAGGGACATTTGAATTTCAGAATAATAATCATTAAAGTATAACTTCTTGAGCTATGGTCAAAAACGTGTCGTGACCTCGAACATTGACCTTTGCGTCCTCGAGTTTACGTGAACGTTTGTGTCAAATGTGTAGAAATTCTCACGAGGAGTTCCTGAAATATCGCGTTCACGAGCGCGTCAACGACTCCTGGACTGAATCTTCACTGATCCTGACAATCAGTGAAATAGATGAGGTTGTAAAGTGAGACGTGTGTTTCCAGTTGAACCTTGGATCGTCGTGGTAACCCGTCTCTCAGGTCAGGGTTCACTTCCTGTGTGCGTCCGCTGCTGTGAGAAACAAAACGATGCCACAAAACCAACGAGACACGTGAAGGATCACAAATACAGCTCATACAGATGTGTTTCCACGGCGACGACAGTCGTCACTGGATCCCTCTGAACAAACACATCGCAAACACCATGGCAAAGATCTGTGGAGAGGAGGAGACAGAGGAGGAGACAGAAGAGGACACAGAGGAGGAGACAGAGGAGGA